CAGGGCCTCCCTGTCTTGAGCAATGTACAGGTCAGAGCACGTGATGGTGTGCAGGGTCCCCCACAAGGAGGCGGCCACCCGAGACACGGCCCCCTCATCCCAGAGTCTGCTTAGTGCCCAAGCAGAGGAACCCAAAGTCCACGTGTGCGAGCCCTTCCCACACCACTGCCCAAGGCCACCGTCGTGAAGGAGGCATGTGCCCGTGGCAGCAGGGGAAAGACCCCGCAGCATGTTTGTGGCCTGTGGACCAGGAGTCCCAGGCTCCTGGTGAGACCCCAAGGTAGGAGGGGAGACAGCCCTCGGCCACGCGGGCCTCTTTCCCCAGGGAGGGGCAGGCCAGGGGAGAACTAGAAGGGCCCTCCCTCTCACAGTGGTGCCATTGCCCCAGCCATGGGCAGCACCGGCCCCTGGCACAGCCGTGCCACGTGCCGCCGCTCCTCTCCCGGAACCAGTCCCCAGCTCACTGTGTGACCTGCTGCTGCATCTTCAAGGACCACGTCCTGGGCGCCCCATTCAGAGGTGCTGGCTCCACCCCTGGGCTCACCAGCGCCTCCCCCACGGCGCCCCTCTCCACAGCAGCAACACTGACCACAGCCGGGGCGTCTCCTGGACGCCGTCTGCCTGCACCAGGACCAGGCTCCCCACAGGAAGGCGCTTGGTCCTGGACTCCCTCGCACACTCGCGGGTATAAAGGTGGAGACTATCAGTCGGTGCTGAGGACCTCGTTGGGATAAAGCAAACCAAGGAGGACAGTTGCATGGGATGGGCTCAACGCGGTGCCCAGAACATGACTGACTCTCAGTAAAAGCTACCTGCAATGACAGTGACAAGCTGACGTGCCAAACGAACATCCACGGGAGAAGCAGGAGAGGACTCATCTCAGAGCCAGTCTTCAGAGGCCTGGCCACGGGCCGGCCACACCAAGGTCACTAGACGCTCCCAAGGAGGCTCCATGCTCCTGGTTGGACGGTCTCCGTGTGTCTCCTGAGGGCTGGTGGCTTCCCAGTCCTGCTCTGAACAGCGAGCCAGGCGCTCAGTCCTGGGTGTGCGCACGCGTGTGTGTTCCCAGGGAGGGAACCCCGGGTGCTCTCCCACTGAGCCACATCCCGGCCCTCTTTACTTTCTACTTTGAGGCAGGCTCTTGCTGAGTGGCCTAGACATGCACAGTCACCGGGATGATGGGCACGGCCACCCCGTGATCATTGTGTTCTAAACACTTTATTGTGAACTCAGCAGCACCCTCACGCTTGCCGTCACCACCCCCAAAATGGAGAGGACCGGCTCCAACAACTGAGCCCCAACACCTCCAGAGACACCCTGGCACGCTGCCCAAAGAACACCCCGGAAAGGCAGCAGCTGTCCGTGGCTTTCACGTTGGTCAGTTCCAGCCACACTTCCTGATGTTTGCCAGCCCAGGACACAGCACAGTGACACGTCTGCAGAGTTCACAGTCCCCGACAGCTGGCTTTAAACACGAAGCAAGCTGGGCACGTTGGCACACCCCTGTGACCCCAGCAGCTTGGGAGGTGACACAGGAGGAGCCCGAGTTCCAAGTCAGCCTCAGCAATTCAGCAAGACCCCGTCTCAGAATTAAAACTGGAAACCTCATCCCAGCAAACCAGAAACACCATGGATGACACAGAAGAGCAGCCAGGCCCAGACGGGACACGCCCTGGGCTGCAGCCCTGGGGTGACCCTGAGGTCCTGGCCCTTCTGTCACTGCCATTCCATCCCAGACCCCATTCCCTACAAACTGATTTCCAGAGCTGAGGGACCATGTTACAAGCACCACCAGGACACTGTGACCACCAGATGGCACCTGCCACCATGGAAACACAGGACAGGACTCCAGGCAGAGCGGGTTGCTGAGCACAGCGGCTTGAAGAGGGTAGAGCACAACTTTCACCTACGTCTGGCCTCGGGCCTGCACCCCCTTAGGCAGATGTCCCCGAGTCCCGATGAGCCGTCTGGACGAAGCCCTGCACTTCCCTATTTGCTGTGTCGGCCTCAGACTTGCTGCCCCTGAACTCACTGGGACGTGGCCCTGCTTCAGGAGGGAGGGGGTCTCCTCCACGTCTTGACCAGGCACTGCCCACGTGACAGCAAGGACACAGAGGGCAGCACGCCTGACTGGCCAGAGCTGTCTGGAGAGAAGAAGGGCCCAGGGAGCCTGGGAGGTGGACTCACCGTGCTGGGCCTGGATTCCAGGGCTCAGAGACAGTCCTGGGGGAGAGAGAAAGAGTGGGGCTTCCTCCTCAGGCCCCGTCACAGCCCAGACTAGTCTGGACACAGGGGCCTCAGGGGCCAGGCCTGCAGCCGGAGCTGGAGA